GAACTCTTACCTCCTCACACTTAAACGGAACCACGCCCTCGTGGTTAATAGTATTTTGGAATTGGAGTTAATGGTTGAAATGCTCACATGCAATTACTAAGTTATCTCAATACTTACAAGATTCAACGATGAAGATTGAAATAATAGATAACCATAACATGAAAATATGAAATAATGCATAAAATATTCTCAAAATGGTTTTAAGAATCATGTTGTGAAATTCCAAAATAAAAATCATTAAGCATCCAAATCATGTTCAAAGTAGTAGAGAAAAAGAGACTTTACTGAGGAAGTCAATATTCTCTCAGTAGCCAACTTCAACCAGGCTGTTGGATCAAGAAGCCTCGAAGGTTGCAGAAACCTTGTGCTTTCCCCACCTGAGACCTCTTCTTCGCTCCCACTGTAAGGTATGCCCTACAATTCTCTCATCTGCAAAAGCAAAGACAACAAACAAAATAACTCTTGCCCCCAAAACTGGTGCGGCAAGCAAAACCTCAAAAACTAACAAATAAAACTATTGAATTTATTCAATTATTTTAGTTATTTGAATGATGGGTTGCCTCCCGTTAAGCGCTTCTTTAACGTCCGTAGCTCGACGCTTACCCACTTTTTCCGTGACTTCCCGATCCGAGAGTCATAAAGTTTGGCCGTTCTGACTCTCTTCTGATTCCACCTTGTTTGATTTCTTGCTCGGTCAAGGTCTAGGATCCTTGACTCATCCCTGTGGCTTGGTGGCAACAGGATAAAAGGAGGAGACTCTAGATAGATGGGTGGTGGCGGAAGTCTCCTTAGTTGATCCACATCATTGGCCTTCATAGCGATATTGATTTCTTCCTTGCCTTCAATGGGCTGACCATCCATTTGTGGTTCAATGATTATGACCGTGCCTTTCCCCAAGGAAGAGTCCTCGTTGTCACTCACCAAAAGTTCATCCCAACTCTTTAAGTTCCAACCATCCTTCGGGCAGACATAGTCGCACCCGTCAAGTAGGGAGTGAAAGAAGGTTTGGTCTGAAGCTTCAGATGAATCATTAGTTGTGCAGGTTTCTATAGACAAAATTGGTTCATCAGTGCAAAGTACTTCATCGTCTGTAGATTCCTGCTCGGACTCAATGGAATCTTGGGGGCAGGTAATGGGCTCTACTTCCTCCAGAACAGGTTCCTCTGGAGGTGTGTCTTGAACACAATTAAGGAGATGGTCGTTTATTGCTGTAGGCAAAACTTCCTCCTCCTTTTCTTGAATGAGCGTAGGTGGTTTTGAGTCAGGTCTCTCAGTTGGTTCCACCTCATGTACGACTATGCTGGTTGTGACTTGGCTAGGAAGGGATTTAGGTAACATCACCACAGTAGCCCTAGCGAGAGTTGTTATGCTCTCGGGTTTCTGTGATGGTGTAAAACCGGGTAAATCCTCTAGAACTGGCACCTGATGGTTGGATGTTTCAGGGTTGGTCTTAGGTTCTAGAGCCTCTTTTTGAGCATTAACTTCCTCCAATTGTGGATCTTGAGATTGGAAGGAGCGTTTAAGTTCGATTGCCTTACAGAGATCATTGACTAATTTATCAGCTTTAGCCTCGGCTTCTAGTCTCTCTCTTTGGAAGTCATCCAGCATTTTCTGCATCATATCTGATCCTTCGCATAATCTCCTTTCGAACTCCTTTTCCTTCCGGACTGATTCAAGAAGTTTCGCTCTTTCTCGAATTGCCACCTTGTTTGCTTCAATTTGTTCTTCGGCAAACAGGGTATAGTCACGGGAGTAGGGTGGTTCATACCAGGAGCCTTCAGCGAATAAAACTTCGTCGAAATAGAAGATTTTCTGTTCTAATCTTATTATTTCTTCGACGAGCGGATCAGCTTGATCGTCGTATATAGGCCCATTGCGGTCATAGTCATCGTGATCACCATGAGGTTCATAATAATCTTCCCCATCAGAGTCTTGGTACGGAGAATATCCAAAGTTTTCAGATGGGGTATCATATGGTGGTTCCTCATGGTAGGGATAGTAGTTAGACCCATTGTGGACTTGGTAGTAGTTAGACCCATTGTGGACTTGGTAGTCAGAGTAAAAATAATAAATAAATTAAGTTTACATAGTATAAGTATAGATCTGGACCTAGGGTCTGGACGTCATTTGAATTTATTTTATCATATTAAATTAACAATTGGAATAACAATGTTTCTATTACAACTCATCCATTTCTAGATTTGTACTTAATCCGTTGACAGTTGAATATCATAGCCTTTTGGCATACAATATTTTCTCAATAAATGGCCAATTAAATCTTTCGAGAGTAACTAACCAGATAAGGCAAAAACAACAGATTAACCATTCCAACATTAATTTAACATCAAAAATAAACAACCAAATTAGTCCGGACCCAGAGATCCGGACCCTAACTCATACTATGCAAACATGAATTAAAACAGCATTTTATTAAATAGAGTAAACTTACAACTTCCGTAAAGGCGGAACAGAATAGACCGGGAGTAGAATTCCCCCAGAAATTATTCTAAAACTACTAAAATGCTAAACTAATATTTAGAAATGGAATATTAAGCTCAAATCCCGAGAGAGGGGATCAAAGTGATGTGGTGTATGGGGAGAATCGCGCTGTATTTATAGGAGCGAAGCCAAGGCGTCCAAGTCAAAGTGTCCAAGTCCAAGCGTCCAGATCGGGACGCTTGAGCTGCTCCGGCCAACCAGATTTTGCCACGTGTCTTTCTTGGATTGCAATCTAGCCCAGGCGTCCAACTTCAAGCGTCCAACTTGGCCAAGCGTCCAAGTTGGACGCCTGGAGGCCTTGGTCCGTTGGGCTTCGCGGCTGTTTCGTGATTTTGGCCCAATTTCGCTCCGTTTTGGCCCCGAACACTGTTTTTGACCTCCCGGAAGCTCGTTCAAGTCCGAATCTTGATCCCTTGATGATTTATTC